TTTACTATTTTCATGTATGATGTCATCAGACAATTTTTGGTCATTGGTGTTCAATGCATCAAATCTGCTCTTCACATGGTCTCTAAATTCAGGTGGGATATAATCAAGGTCATATGTTGGCTCTCATTGACTTGTTTTAATTATCTTCAGCTTCAGCTTGATCTTGCATCTGAGCACTTGGTCTATTCCACAGTCAGCTCCTGGCCTTGGTTTGCCTGAAGATATTGAGCTTCTCCATTACCTCTTTCCACAGATGTAGTTGATAGGATTCCTATGTATTCCACCTGCTGAGGTCCACATGTATTGCTGCCATTTATGTTGTTGAAAAAAAAGATATTTGCAATGAATAAGTTGTTGGTCTTGCAAAATTCTATCACGCAATCTCCAGCATCGTTTCTATCACTAAGGCCATGTTTTCCAACTACTTGTGAATCTTCTTTGTTTCCAACTTTTGCATTCCACTCACCAGTAATAATCAATACATCTTAATTTCATGTTTGGTCTATTTCAGACTGAAGAACTTAGTAAAAATCTTCAATTTCTTCATTTGTGGCTTTAGGGATTGGTGCATAAATTTGAATAATTGTAGTATTAACTGGTTTTCCTTCTAAGCATATGATATTACCCTGTCACTGACAGCATTGTACTTCAGGATAGATCTTGAAATATTCTTAGTGACAATGAATGCCACATCATTCCTTTCAATTTGTCATTCCCAGCATAGTAGATCATATGGTTGTCTGATTTAAAATGGCCAAATCCAGTCCTTTTCAGCTCACTAATGCCTAGGATATAAATCTTTATGAGTTTCATTTCATTTTTCACAACTTACAATTTTCCTACATTCATACTATGTACATTCCATGTTCTGGTTATTAATGGATATTTGCTGCCATTTCTTCCCATTTTGAGTTGTGCTGCATTGGCAAATGGAGATCCCGAAAGATTTACTCCCTCCACATCATTACAGTCAACTCTGCTTTGAGGAGGCAGCTCTTACCCAGTCATATTTTGAGTACCTTCCGACCTTAGGGGCTCATCTTCTGGCATTATTTCAGACAATATTTCAAAACTATCCATAAAGTTTTCCAGTAATATATCAGACAGTGTTTCACTGCTATTTGTAAGGTTTCACTGGCCAATGCTTTCAGAAGTTGATGGCCTTTTCCTTCTTCCAAGTCTGTCTTCATCTGGAAGCTCCTCTGAGACCTGTCCACCATGGGTGACCCTGCTGATATTTGAAATACCTGTGGCATAGCTTCCAGCCTCACAGCAACACACAAGCCACCACAGTAGGACAATCTGACAAATAAATGGTGGAAAATTCTTTAATAGCTACCGGTATATGGTTAGGAGCTCTGGTAGCATAGTGCCTAAGGCACTTGACTGCTAACCAGAAGGCTGGCGGTTCAAACCCACCAGCCACTCCTCGGAAGGAAGGTTGGGCAATCTACTTCGGTAGTGATACTGCCTGGGAAACCCAAGGAAGGGTCGCTATGAGTCAGGTCCGACTCGACAGCACATAACAACAACAACAACAGCGGTATGTGGTTGGGTTAGCATCAATACTAAGTGAGCATCAAGGTTAGAGGAACTGCTTTTAAAAAGGCAGTGCTAAAATTCAACGTGCATTCTAAAGTCATCTCAAGACTTTAAAATGGGGTTAAGTCTCTGCTTTCAGACTGCTCTATTTACATACACCAAGTGTCTCTGATTTTAACTCTCATATACTTTAAATTCAGAAAAGTATCCTAACTTTCTTAGAAGATTTGCAGAACAGTGTTCAATATGCTTCACAGGATGGTAAAGGGTAAGATTTTTAAAACTTTCTCAAAGGAAAAAATATACTGCATCTGAATATATTCTCCCATAACTAATTTTATTAAACAATGTCAAATAAACTCACAGCAATGTTGCAACATTTGAAGTAAACTGGATGAAGGAAGGTGACATTTAAATCATGCTTCCAAAAGTTGACTGTTTAACATAAGAGCCATTAATCTCAGGGCATTCTTTTATTATTATTATTATTACTACTACCATTATTATTATTACTATTGTGCTTTAGGTGCAAGTTTACAGAGCAGAGTTTGTTTTACATTCAACATTTCTTGTACATTTGGTCTCACTCTCCAGTTACCATCCCAACCCTAACCCAGTCTCCTCTCCTCCCTGCCCAGTAACCAACCCTCTATCCCCCTCATAGTTATACACTGCTTTGTGTCCTGCATTTCCTCCATGAGAATGTTGCCCGTCTGGTGCCTCATGGTCTGTTGCTCCAAGGGATGCATCTCCATAGAATATGTGGGTGCGTCACCCTGGGTTGAGTGGTCTGTGTATACATCTTATTTATTATTGGGCTAAGAGCCAGCCCCTGGGAGTGAATTTTATTCCAGGCCCGAAGTGTATCCTAGGGCCATAGAATTGGGGGTCCCACCAGAGGAGTCCACCTGACCAGAAATTCTGGCCATTGTGTTTTTGGATTTTGTTCCACGTTTTCCCTCCCATTCTATCCAGGATCTCCAGTTTTGATCCTTTCTCAAGTGGTTGACATTGGTAGCCAGGTATCATCTAGTTCTTCTGGTCTCAAGGTCCATCATGTCCTAGGGCTGATTGCTTCCAAATGTCCTTGGTTTTTTGG